AAACACTCTTATAGCCGAGTGGCGCTAAATAATTCAGAAGGTTATGAAAAACAAACATGCACTGATCACCAGCGGACAGATCACTGTCTAAGGTTTCCTGGTATATAATGAACTTGAACGGGCTGATGAACTAGCATAATGTAACTCTTACAGCAACTAGGGTGTCTGAAGAAAAAGCTGCATTGAGACAATATACAAATATAGAGACAGGCAAGTAAACAAGTACAGTTCAAAGTAAACAATGCAGACGAGTAACTATGACTGCAGATGGGTAACAAACAAATTATGAGGCAGATGAGGTGGGTATGGACCAAGGTGCCATAAGAACAACGGTTCTAAATAATGGAGCATGTGTTCTCTGTGTTAGCATGCTGACCCCAAGGGTGCAGAGTAACCAAGCTCAGTCAAGGGCCTGCTGAAAGTAGCCAACAAAGGCTGCCTGTCCTGTAATAATAATAATAATAATAATAATCGATACTTTATTAATCCCTGTGGGGAAACTGTCTTTACGCCTCCCTCAACTTGCTCTTTGTAGAGCACGCTGTCTGCAAAGGGCGGCCACCTGTAGCGGCACCCAGGGAGCTGGGGGTTAAGGGTCTTGCTCAAGGACCTGCAGATGTACTGAGGCTGGGTTTGAACCGGCAACCTTGTGATTACTGGCACACAGGCTTAGCCCTAACTATGCATTTATAGCGTGAAAGCACCCTACTCACCCCCACCCACATAGACAGGGAAGGGAAATTCAACTGACACATGATAATACTGGATTTACGGACGGAGAAAACGCCCTCATGCAGAATCACTTGGTGGCAGTTTTAAGCCAGCTAAGCTGGTACACCTTACACGGGTTAGGGGTTCATGGATGGATGGGAGTCAGTGAAAAATGGGTGACATTTGCTAAAAAAAAAGACAACAGGTCAGTTTTGAAATAAACAAATAAACCTTTCTAAGGAAACAAGGAACAAACTCAAGTACTCTGTTTTTATTTACAGTAGGATATGTACAAATTAAATAAAAAAAATTAAGACTTCACTTGCCAGAAAATCTGCATGGGATTGAAATGCTCCAATTCCAAAGTATATTTCCAAAAAGTTGTCAATCAAAAAGAGGTGGAGCCACTTTGACATTTCCTCCAATCATCATGCAGCAGCCCAGTGTCCTGCCCCACCCACTGTCCCATGTCCAGCTTCCCTGGAATTGATGTTTTGAAGCATTTGTCCAACCTACGTCTAGCTTTGGCTGCACTGAAAACAGAAATGCCACTGAAGTCCAGTGAAGCTGCACTTTTACTGGGTCATGCTGCCAAAGGAAGATAAAGCACGAGAAAAAAATAAAAAATCACACTAGGCAACCTGCAAGAAATTATTACTGATTCTGAACAAACTAACCATGAAATTGAACATGTTCTATCACGCTCTTTGTAAATGCAACAATACATATTTGAGTCCAGCCGCTGCCTGTGAGCTACATCCCATCCTGGCTGTATCCCAGCCTTACGCCCTGTACTGTGAGCCTCACTAGGCTCACAGGAATGAAGATGGATGAATGAATCCAGTCAGTTATTTATTATAAGGGATAATACCTTGTTCATGCAGTATGACAAAAAAAAAAAACAGGGGAATCAGCAGAGGATGCCCGAGTGGCAATGCCAGTCCATCGCAGGGAACACACTCAGACATGCAGTCCCTAATTACTAACCCAAGATGTTCGATACGATGCATCCCAAGTTTGTCCCAAATGTATGCTATGCACATTTTTTTCTACTTTAAAATCAGGGCAATCACATTGTGGACTTTTACGCCGGTGTCACAATGCAAACTGGTGCTTCTTATGATCAGTAACTCCTGTTACCAGACAGGCAGGCTCAGCACGGCGCTCTGTCAGAAGCCTTTTCTATGCATTTCTTTTTGCAAGGAACAGGCTTTTAAAACAGCCTTAACTCCATATGCGACTGCTAATAATGAAATGGGTTACAGTGCATAAACTCGTTAAAGGCTCACATTCATTTCCTGCTGTTAATGGTGAAGACCCACACACACACACACACTCACACTCACGGGATTCACATCCCCACTTTTCGCACCAAGCTACAGTGATTCACTAGAGATAATGACCACCGAGGCCACAGGTTAAGTGGTTCAGCGAATAAAAGGAGCTCAGATTACCTGAGGAGAGGTGAACGGAAATCTCTGGCAATGCAAATCCACAACATACAGTGCTATAAGTCGAAGCCAGTCAAATGAAATGTTTAGGCTTTTTATCAGGGTAGTAAGTGTATATTGGCTCAGAAAAGTTGACATTAGAACATAAGTAAACCAATAGTTACAAACAAAAAATAAACAAGAATTTCTTCTTTTCTCCGGGAAGTTACTGATATCTTGCTGCCTGGTTAGATGAGTATCTTCCCAAATCTCTCTATAGGGGCACCCCAGCCATTCCATGGATTGATTAATTGATTGATTGATTGATTGAGCACATAGTGAAACAATTAAATAGTTCAATTAACTATTGATTAGCCAAACAGTTAGGGTAGTAGACGAGTCAGAAAACACATTGGTGTATTGGACGGCTGCTACAAATTTTGGGATAATTTTAGGGGAGGTTTTGAAATGACAAAGCTGATACACTGTAACAGATGCAATATCAGTTTCACACCAACATGAAAATCACTTAAACATTTTTTTTAACTGCCGAAAGCTTTTACCCAATACTGTACATGGGATAACTGTAAGAACTAAATCACTTAATCTGGAGTGAGGAAAATTCCGGACTTCAGGATTTTTTTAGGCTAACTCCCAGAACATTCCCTCTACCCCTGAAAAAGAAATAATCAAAACAATTTTCATCCATCCATATCCTGTACTGACTTACTCATCATTTACTCCAATCATCCCAAGGTTAGAGAAAACTCCCTTATTAAAAGACCAAGCCACAGTATGCTACTCACAAATGCAGGAGTGTGTGTCTCTTTACCCCCGTCTCTCTCTCACACTCACATACATCCCCCAATTCAGCCACTCATCTTCCAGCTATATACACAATCATAAAAAATAGGCAATTTATAGACAACAGCCCAACTATATGAAGAATTTGCAGAGGAACTCCAAACGACACGGAGAGAATATGCAAACACCACACACATCAGGCAGAACTGGGCCTCGGGGGGGGGGGGGGGCTGACACTGATGGTGCTACAGGGGGAGCCACCAAAATACCCACAGCTTAAGGTGGGGGCTGCCTAAAAAGCAGCAGATGGGGTTCAATTAAGATTATCCAAAGGAAGAAAAAAAAACCCATCGTGAATGCAAAGGCCAATGCCAGGCAGGCAAACTTTCACTTTGAATTTGGAGTCACAATCGGGGCCCTTAATAGAAACGTCTGTGTTCAAATATGCATTGTTCCCATCATTTCCTGAAACAGCATGAAGCATGCTGGACAATACAGAAATATACTCCGCAGTACTCTCTGGACAGGGGATGTTGGGACAGGGAAACAGAAGATCTGAAAGATATGGGATACTGTTGTGTTTACACTGAAACAAGTTCAACCTTCTAAAATATTTAAAGGAACATTTATGCTGTGAATAAAACTGAAGAACAAAGTCTGCCTGTACATGACAAATGAATCATTCTTGTAAGAGTTCACACTACACAAATGACGCGGAATAAACCTGATAGAGCAGAATGCCCAGTTCTAATAATTCCATTATTTATTATCTGCATCAAACTAAATATAAACTTTCAATGTTACTATTATATTGAGAGGTTTTATTAAGACATTTGAAGCATTTTCAGTATAATCTGGAAAAATCTAAATGGTCCTAAATAAACAAATGTGTCAGGGTCCCAGGAAAAAAGAGCTACTTCATAATGCCTTCAATAACAAAAAAATGACAATGTTGGGATATGAGGGTATTAATATACCCCTAACAGAAGGTAGGTCACTGGGCTGTACCGTGACGTACGTCATTATGCGCGACCTGTTGTGGGAAAGCAGGGCTCCCAACTCTCACGCTCACGCAAGAAATCTCACGGCACATTTATATTATTCCATCGTAAAACTAAAAATTAGCTGTATTTAAAGCGCTGGGGTAGTGTGCAAACCCTATAGACTATTTATAAGTTAATAAAACTATTGCATAAACTTAAATAAACTGGCAGGCTTGGCTCGAATTGAAAATCTCACTCCGGCCAGCTGACCAAAGTTGGTGACACTGGGAACGTTTTGCAACCCAGTTATATGTATTCAATTTGAAACGTTTACGTCTTTTCCCACCTTATACGCTTAAATGCCGTAGGCCTACATGACAATAATGAAAAACGAGGGATGAGAAAGTTGAAGGTTAATGGTACAATAGGGGGCACAGCATTGCTGGGAGAGCAATGAATTCAACCATTACATTTCGTAGCTTAGAAGATCATCATTGTGTAAACTTGGGGAACGTTGTGTTTTGCTGCTTTGTTAACCTATTATATTATTTCTTTATTATTGAAATATATAACTACGGTTTTAAAAGTAAGATATTACGGTCCTGGTGGTCTGGATGACACAAGGCGAGAAATGCTGAAATTGTTATTGGCACCCATAGCCTGACAGGCAAGTTGGAGCACAAGTGAGGCGTTTTCTCCATGAAATCATGCATTAAATACCCCGAGGTCATGCAGGTCCTACCATGGTTAAAGTTGTAGGCTGTGTGCGCTGTACGTTGTCATTGCAATCATAAATATGCACTTCGTTTCTGTCTTTTTCCGTAGTCTTAACTACGGATTTTATGAAAAATAATTAACTATTTCCTCATTCAGAACACACAAACAAATACATGTAGTCAGCAAAACTTCCAGTAGCAAAAGTCAATCTAAATGTATGTGTATTTTACGTTTTACTTCATCTTAATGTAAATAAACTCACGCCCTCTCCCTTTAGTTATATTATGGAAGACCAACAAACGGTTAAATATTCAACAAGATTAAAAATAAAAAGGTGAGAAAGGAAAACTCGTACCTGCGTGGATCAGACCGAGTAGTTCGCCTATTTCCCCGTAAATGTTACCGCATGGTCCGCGGTCACGGAGCGCATCTGGCACGAACACGGGTCCCAAACCGGAGTCTAAACTAAAGGACCGGACACAACACTGGCAGTGCTTCTAGAAAAAGAGGAAAGAGTGAAACCGCAAATAAACGGCACTTAGTTTCTCCTCTGCGAAGGGTCCCGCCTCAGCCCTCCCAGCGCTTCCAGCCCGCAGAGCCGCCGAATGACGCCCTCCGGCTCTCCGGCAGTCCGCACCTACCTTACGCGGATCCTATTTCTTAAGTTCCGGGACATTATGCCTTTTGTAAGAATGAAAGTTAACACAATAACAGTCACACAGCCTATTTTAAGTTACGTTGAACATTAAACCAAACACTGAAATGTTAAAATGTCCTATAGCCTACTTGAGTCGTTTGATAGCGATTTAATGAAGTCAGACATTTAAACCTCTGTCATAAACATTTTAAGTGTACAGCCAGTGTGCTATTGATCTACAGATGTGTATACATTTGGTATATACTTACATTAGACCAATTTCGTGTCACCTAAATAATAATGAGCATTAATTGATGTTCATGTATCACTGTAAATATATTAAGTAGTTCATCTATCCATCCTGAGATTTTAATTGGTAAGCTTTGTGCTAAAAGTCCAGTCTATTAAGCATCATTCCTACCGCTGCCAGGATTTGTGATCTTCGATGGAAATGAGGGACAGACCAGGGGGGGACTAATTATGAGACTCCATTAGGAATCACGATAATGGCCTTTTAATATTTCAGAGAAAAATAATCACACTAGATGGCAGCACAGCATGCGAATCGATTGAAGAAACATTTCAATTGTCTGAATTTTTATTTTTCTATTACACAACATAATCTCCAAAAACAAACTACACATTTTTAAGGCATGCCCTTTTCATGACCCCAGACTTTGGCTGGTTCTGATACGGTCTCATCCTCCCTCTCCACCTACAAGATTTTTTTTTTATTACATTTTTGCACCACGTATGCCGGTCCGAGGTCATCAAAAGGTTGGGAACACCTACGTTAGTTGACTTTTGGTACATTATCTCTTAATTTCTTATATATACTAACCACCAGTGACACAAATAAGGTGAATGTTCTGTCAATGTGAGTGTTCAATATTGCGGCCTTGACCAGCCAATCGCTTTGCATCCCTGGACTTCACTGCAAGGCTGCGCTGACCAATCAATGGAACCTCAGCCGAGTCCAGCTACCATAGTATGGGAATAGAGGCTCGGTCATGCACAGGCCACAGAAATAAGACGGAGGATGTTCGAGGCTTCAGCATATCTACAGCTAGGGGACAATAGTTCACTAGGCATGCTGAGTGAGAGTGTGGGGGGTGGGGGGTGCCAGGCTGTGTAAAGTAGTCACAGAAATGGCATTCGGAAGTACCATTATGTAAAGTGTTTAACCTGGTTTGTGCCAGTGAAAATTCAGAGCCACGTGAACAGCCAAAAATTAAAGCAGCCAAAAATGAAAGTGGCTGCATTGTCATTATTATTTTGAGTGTTGTTAAGGTGTGTGGAGTGCAGCGGTGAAATATACTGTGAAACACACAGTATATGCAGTATGAATTCTTGCAGCCATTAATTCAGCCAGGCTTGTCCTACCCTAATTAGTCACTGTGGGTGTGAGCGTATGAATGTCACAGATATTAGTCTCAGTGGTATCTGTTCACACAGTGGAATGTTAAAATGAAATGATCAGTGTAAGCAGATTTTTACCATGACTATGCATGGCTCATAAATATCTCTTTTCAAAACAGCTCAAAATTAAAGCATTCATATACAACATACAGTTCTGGGTGCGTGTGCTCACTACACAGTTTCTATTGAGTTTTAACAGGATTAAAAATTTCAAATTCCAAATGAGGAACAGCCTGCTTTTTCATATTTCAGTATTATGATTAATTGTGACACTGATTCTGTGCCTGTGAAAAACACAGCGGACAATTATTTGCATGTGAGCTGTGTCCATTCAAAAAGGCAATAAGCGGTATTCATAAGCGGGACGCTACTTGTCATTGTTATCCGGCTCATTCCAGCACGTTGCAGACCACGTGAGGCAACAAGTGCCCTCATTCTCCTCCCTCGTTTTCCCCTCTCTTCCCCACTCCAGCTGGATGTCTCCCATGGTAACCGTTGGCATGGAGGAGGGATCTTCCTCTTCAGTGTTTGTGTTACTACGACTGCCGCATATCAGCACAAAATGAACCGTGAAAATTAATCTTTGAAGCCATGACATTGATGTGTGGTCATATGCGCGGTAGCCTCCTGTATGATATGGATGGTGTTTATGAACGTATATATGCACATTTTAAGGCATACAATCAATTTTTAAATTACAAATTACATCTACAGTAAATATTTTGCTTATCACTCGAAATTATCATAATTTATGAAAATAATGACATTATAAACTCCATCATGTTGTGCTATGCCGTATTTACTGCATTAACTTTGGCGACGTATTGTAGGCCTAAGATTAACTAGAAATACCTATGTGGCCACTAGAGGGCAGAAAGAGACGTTTGGTCGTCATCACAGTCAGACAAAACACAGAAATCATTAATAAAAATGTCATACTGTGGGGTAACACAATTTAACAATCGTTAAATCACTTGTTTCTAAAGATCTGAGTCAAAAATAAACCTTTTCTTTGAAAATAATCTTTAATTTTCACAAGAGGTGATGCTCTCAAGACACTTATTCCATTCAACTGAACAGCATAATGAAATGATCGAAGCCGCTGAAGAGAATTCGACCGCAAGAGGCTACGAAGAATAATAAGAGATTATCGGTTTAGAGGCGCACGACGGTATTCACGTAAATTGCTTCCTGTTGGCACCTCTGTTCAAGTTGTCTTACAGCATTTGGTAAGTATATCACGTGCTGATGAGAAATTCCGTAAACATTGCAAAGGAAACCAGCATATCTCATATATTAATTTAGTTATATAGGCACTGCTTTATTTATCTTGCTCAAATAGTATTTAAAATTGTTTAGCAAGAATGCCTAGATCTTAGTGTCTTTTTGGCGCGATGAGAATGAAGAACATGTGTGTTCCACTTGTCCCGGAATTAATCATTTAAAACAAGAAATAAACATTCATAGATGACGTTTTATTTTTGGTGACAAATGAAACATACAAGAAATACATTCAGGAAATGATGGAACAATCAACTTATGACAGGCGGCTGTCAATGGGAACACGTGACCACTAATCATGTGACACGCGCCGCTCCGGGGGAAAAATGGGTTGATAACCCAGCGCATCATCCAGCCAGTAACAGCACGTTGGGAGATCAGTTAAATCATTGCATTTCTAAAGGGGCGCAGCGGACGAGGGGGCAAAAACGCTGACTGGATTCATACGACCGAGTATAACGAAGACGCGTCTTGTCCAAGGATGGCGAGCAGCAACATCCTAATGGTGTCACGTTTTGCTGGAAGAGGTACGAACGCGCATCTACTCTAACAGATGTTGCCCCAAAGCAGACGGGCGATTAAATGTGTCTCGAATCCGTTTTTTCCAAATAGATTTTTTAACATTCATGATAAACTAAATGTTTATGTTAGTTTGGAAAATATACGCGTGGGTCCTGTATTCTCCATAAATGCCATTATAGTTGTCCGATATTGCAATGATAATTTGATGTTCATATTTGTGCCCAGCGGGAACAGTTAAAACCCGGCTTAATATTAATAATATTTTGTCCGAGACCGTGATTTGCATTGGGGCTGTCTTTATATTATGCCAAAGCCAACATACGCAGCTGTTTATTATATATGAACCATTACTTTTGTGCCTTCTGGCAAATCGTTCATGTAATTATAGTCCTAGAAACAGTGGATATTCCAGTTTTCAGAACGCTGTCTGTAATGCATTTGCTATAAGAGCTAAAACACAGTGGTCCATCTTTCCTAGTAACCATTTAAACGTGTAACTAACTGCATAACATTTTGGTGCTGATGTCCCCTAGGCTGTATTTTGAGTTTTACTCTTTAACTGAAGCCTATGTACATTATTATTATCTGAGGACAGAGTTAATGGTCACCTGGATGCCATATATCTTGCAGGTTCTTTTAGTGCACTGTCCGCAGTGGGTATTATGCACTTGAAGCTCCAGCTTTCAAAGTATGATCATCATGTTTCACATTACAGCACTGCAGTTGTCCTGTATTGCACTGTTGTTTGTCCTACTGTACCGATGCAGTTGTCCCTTACCCTGCAACTGTGGCATACGAATTTCACTGTGTTTTACGGAACATGTGACAATAAAAACTTGAAACAAAGCAGAAAGATGTCCTGACCAATGCCATTAAAGCATTGAAGTATTCCCTTTACGTTTATGGGTCTCCGTGTAGTTTGTAGAGCTCAGGGAATTTTGGACTAATCAGCAATTTCTCACAGCTCATTTGAGGCATGTTTGTACGCAAACCAAGGTTGTCTAGAGAATGCCAAAAGTAAACTGCTGGATGTAAATGTGATGTTTGTAATACACCCAAAGGCTTGTCATGATGTGCATTCTGTTTTTCAAATCTTCACGGGAACAGCACTGCTCTCAGGATAACTTATTTTTGTTACCAGGAACAGGGCCACTCTTTGGCCAATTTTGGATTTGAACGCCCCCCGAATTAGTTTGCTCCTGATCACCCCCCTCTGCGAAATTTGCTCCCACTCTTAAAATACCTACAACTCCACCAGAACTACAACCATCCACATTGCATGGCTTTTTTCACTACACAGAAGAGATGTTGTTAAACATCTCTCTTAATGGGTACTCTTTGCACAAAGAGACATTCTGTATGTAAAAGAGGCCATTGTGCCAGGTACAAACAGCCCTGACTTCTCTGTGTGTGAAGAGAGTTTATCTGTCCATGAAAGCAAATGGTGACATATATAGTTTTCTGTATCCTGTGCAGAATTCAACACTTTATAAGACGCAGGACAAACATCCTGTTCTCTGCTTTGTAATGTGTTAGTATTTGGTATAAATTGTAATGGGGAGATTTTTCCCTTTACTGATTAATAGCAACAATTTGGTAGTGTTTTAGAACAAGGTTCAGAGGCATTTCCAGCCACAAAATTAAAAAAAAAAAGTGAAAAGTAAAAAGTTAGTCATTCATAAAACTATGGATATCAACTTTCAACAATCTTTAAAAATAAATTCGAATTGATTGCCATATACGGAATCTTCTGTATTCTCTGTCAAATAATTTAGACATTTGTGTTTCTATATGTGTATCTGTGTGAAAGGTAGTGGCTTCTCTTTTATATATTTCTGCACATACCGGGCTAAGTAGGTGACTAACTGCTGTATTTCTTTCTACAGGTTTTCTTTGAAACGCTGTAAATGATGCTGCATGCTCAGTCAGCCGCTACCATCAAGCCACCCCTCCACTCAACTGTCCTTTCTTTTCTGACGTTCTCCAACTCCAGTCCCTCAGAGCATGCCTTCCTGCTGACTGGCCCACCAGCACCAGCTAACTGCAGCCAAGACGGCTCCTTGTCCACCCCCCAGCAGAACGGCTCCCTTGCCTCGTACGTCCTGACCTCAGCAGAGACGGCCACCCTCAGCCTCGTCTTCGGGGTGCTATGGCTGGTCTCCGTCTTTGGCAATGCCCTGGTGTGCCTGGTCATCAACCGCAGCCGGAGGACTCAGTCCACCACCAACTACTTTGTGGTGTCTATGGCGTGTGCCGACTTGCTCCTCAGCTTCGGCTCTGCTCCCTTCATCCTGCTGCAGGTCAGTTCCACCCAGTGGATGCCAAATAACATAATGTGCAAGGTCATCCGCTATCTCCAGTACCTGTCCCCTGGAGTACAAGTCTATGTTCTCCTTTCCATCTGCATGGACAGATTCTACACCATTGTCTACCCACTAAGCTTCAAAGTGTCCCGGGAGAAGGCTAAGAAGATGATCCTGGCTTCCTGGATGTTTGACGCAGCCTTCGTATCTCCATGTTTCTTTTTCTACGGCTCTTCACAGGACGGTCACTGTAACTTTTTCCTGCCGGATACCTGGGATGGCATCTCTTATGGTGTCACGCATCTCCTTGTTGGATTGGTGGTTCCTATGGTGCTCATACTTTTGTTCTACCACAAAGTTGTCAAGTACATTTGGAGGATCAGCACCGACGGGTGCACTGTGAGACGGACGATGAACATCGTGCCTAGGACTAAAGTCAAAACTATCAAGATGTTCCTTATGCTCAACTTTGTGTTCCTCCTCACCTGGATACCTTTCTATGTGGCCCAACTATGGCACCCAAAAGATAATTTTTCCAAACAGGGAGTGCTGTTCTTCGTGGCCATCACGTGGGTCTCTTTTAGCTCCGCTGCATCAAAACCCACCCTATACTCCATTTACAATGCCAGCTTCCGGCGCGGGATGAAAGAGACCTTCTGCTTGTCAACTATGAAGTGCTACCGCAGCAATGCCTACACCATCACTACAAGCTCTCGAATGGCTAAAAAGAACTATGTGGGGATACTGGAGGTCCCCGTACCACCAAAGTCTGTCACCAAAGACTCGATATACGAGACCTTTAACCGTGAGGCAAAGGAGAAGAAGTTGGCTTGGCCCATCAATACCAATCCACCCAATACATTTGTGTGACAAACGGCTCCGAATAAAAAAAACTAAGAAACAAATATATCAAAATAAGAACTTAAGCTACCTTTACACTGTCAATTTTTTCTACTAGTTGTGTGTGTTATGTTTAATTTCCCAAAACTTGTCTATATACTGCCAGTCTGGCAGAAACAAAAAGTGCTATTCATGAAAATTACAATAACATTTTTAAGAAGAACAAATGTATTGATCACCTTTGTCTTAAGTTTCAGTGTTTTGAACTGGTGTAGGTCAAGCCCAGGTTTTCTGGGACCCAAGAACTAATGTCACAACAAGGTGTCAGGTGATATCGTGACTGACCGTTGGCCTCTACGATGCTTCACCTCTGTGCCCCAGAGCAAAACAAAGATGCTGTAGCCCAACTTGTGCCAAAACAATCAAAATGACCCTCCACTGGGCTATGACTCCTACATTGAGTTTGAGGACTACCTATGCCTTGTGTATATTCACTGTGCTGCCGGTACTGAGCTGTGATTGGTCAACCGTCATGTGATACAGAAAGTGTATTTCTTATAATGTGCTGTGACATACCATCTGTGAAGGATTCCATTTTTTCCATTACTGTGGTCAGTCTCCCTGTTTTGTAATGTAATAAATAAAAGACATTGTGTATCCATGTGTCACACCCGGCTCCGTCCAACCCTCATGTGTGCCACGCCCCCCTCGTTAACCCGTATTCTTCCCTGACGGATCTCACCTGTTGCTAGTTTTCCTCAGCGTGTTTAGTGTATTTAGTCCTTGTCATAGTCAGTGATCCCTAGGTTAGTCATTGTATTGTCCGTTGATGTCCACGCTTGTCCCTCCTTGGCTTATTAAAACCCCCGTTCACCTGACTTCCTGGCTGCTCTCGTCTGCTTCCCTGCTCGCCTCCAAGCCGAACGTGACACCATGTTAATGCTGCAGGCTAACTTATAATAAATTAAAATACCAGAAATGTGTAGAGTGTAAAGCTACACTATATTTTAATGACATCCCATTCTTAATACATAGGCTTTAATATGGAGTTGGCCCACCCTTTGCAGTTATAACAGCTTCAACTCTTCTGGGAAGGCTGTACACAAGGTATAGGAGTGTGTTTATGGGAATTTTTGACCATTCTTCCAGGAGAGTATTTGCTGGGTCAGGCACTGATGTTGGATGAGAAGGCCTGCTCAGAGTCTCCACTCTAATTCATCGCAAAGGTGTTCTGTTGGGTTGAGGTCAGGCTCTGTGCAGGCCAGTTAAGTTCCTCCACACCAGACTCGCTCATCCATGTCCTTATGGATTCCCACACAGGTGGCAGCATGAAATTGTCCAAAATGGCTTCGAATGCTGCAGCATTAAGAGTTCCTTTCACTTGACCTAAGGGATCAAGCCCCACCTCGGACAAACAACCCCACACCATAATCCCCCCTCCAGCAAACTTTACACTTGGCACAATGCAGTCAGGCAGGTACCGTTCTCCTGGCATCCGCCAAACCCAGACTCATCCATCGGATTGCCAGACAGAGAAGCGTGATTCATTGCTCCAGTGAGCATGTCTCCACTGCTCTAGAGTCCAGTGGCGGGGTGCTTTACTACACTGCATCCAACACTTTGCATAACAATTGGTGATCTAAGGCTTGGATGCAGCTGCTCAGCCATGGAAACCCATTCCATGAAGTTCTCCACGCACTGTTCTTGAGCTAATCTGAAGGCCACATGAAGTTTGGAGGTCTGTAGCTATTGACCATGCAGACAGTTGACGACTTCTGCACGCTGTGCACCTCAAGAGTGTGAATGGCCAGACTCATTGAGACTTACAGGACTTCCACAAGTGCAAAACTGCTATCTAAATACAAAAGTGGTGCGCAGAATAATAATGATTCTGAAACTGATACTTCATTGATCCCTGAGGGGCATGAAGCAGGGACTTTCTGATCATAGGCACAGAAACTTAGCCCACTGAGCCATACAGTCTATGCTTGAAGCAGTTCTATAGGTAAAAATGGGTCTCATCCAGTATTAGCTAGGAGTCCCTAATAAAGTGGGTCATCCATGATACTAGCTAAGTGTCCCCAGTAAAGCCGGTCCTACCCATTTCTACCTAGGTGTACCTATTAAAGTGGGTCCTCCCCGGTACTACCTAGGTGTAACTAATAAGGTGGGTCCTCCCCGGTACTAGCTAGGTGTAACTAATAAGGTGGGTCCTCCACGGTACTAGCAAGGTGTAACTAATAAGGTGGGTCCTCCCCGGTACTAGCAAGGTGTAACTAATAAGGTGGGTCCTCCCTGGTACTACCTAGGTGTAACTAATAAGGTGGGTCCTCCCCGGTACTACCTAGGTGTAACTAATAAGGTGGGTCCTCCCCGGTACTAGCAAGGTGTAACTAATAAAGTGGGTCCTCCCCGGTACTAGCTAGGTGTACCTAATACGAGTTGGTTCTTCCTGGTACTAGTCATGTGTACGTAATAATTTGGCCACTGAGTGCGGTCAGTTCCATCCAGTATGACACTGGCCAGCTATTCAAGGTCTTAAGAAATGCAATACGGCAACAAATTCAGGTTGATATGAGTTAGCCAACTGAATACAAATCAATAATTGCACATTTTAAGTTACTTAACATTTTGCTCTAAACAAGAAAATTGTGACCTTCTTAACCTAACCACCCCCCCCCCCCTTGATTCCCGGTGTGATGGATGGTGTATTTGATCCAAAACATAAGGATTTATATAATAATATGGCATAAACAAATAAAGTACAGGGACTTTTAAGTATGTGCAGTGTCTGCAATGACTTTTGATATGGCGTTTTGTTATGGACAGGATGCTGTCGACATCCCATTTAAACCGTCATAAGACTGGTGTTGGATGAAAGCAGTACATAGAAAGTATCTTTGTATGAATCTTATAATCAAAATCGCAGATATAAAAGAAAAAAACATATTTCTACTGATCAGTTAGGTAAAGATAAAAAAACTTTCTAGACAAATCATCATGTTTCAAACAACTTCAGTTTAAGTTTAGTATCACTCTAATATGCATGACAAATGGAATTGTTCTTTTATGTTGCATAAGTATATTGTATAACCTTCTGTATAGTTTTAAAAATACTTTTTAAAAACATCTTACCAATGTTTCTGCCACATGTCAGTTACATGTCAAGCAGAATCATCTGAAACATCATCCACTATTGTTTTTTTTTTCCCATTTCTTTGGGCTCCAGGTCATGTGCTCCTAACAGATTATGCATCTTTATGTTTTAACCAAATGGTTTGGAGATAGATTCATGTCTGAAGTAATTGTATGTAAAAATGAATTGCAAATCCAAAATAATATTCCTAAATCCGTAACTTGACCTGTAGGCAAAGATTTTGCAAGTACACTTCTACTGTGACATTTACAACAGATTCTCACAATCAGTTTGCACTGCATGTGTCACACTCTAGGTTTCACTCTCATTTTATGAGATTAGTTTAGACAGTTTATTGCCACTAATGTGCAATCGATTCATCGGCGTACGTAGATAAATTTACATCTAAAGTAATCATATGTAAATGTCATGATGACATCGTAATTTTATGAAACTCAAATTCATAGATTTCCTGATTTGGACTGGAATTGATCAATGCATTCCGGAATGGCCCCAACCCTGGTGCCCACACCCACCCATCATCTCCTCTTTATCCTACCCAACCACCCCAAAAATACCCCTCCCAAAAATAAGGATTTGGGAAAATATAAGGCATTTATTATATTTAATCATTTCTGCAGTTCTGCATGCAAATTTGCAAGCAACTGAATCTCTTTGCGACTGAGAGATTGTCGAGCCACAGTCCTGGATCCTGTCAAATAATCTTCTGTATTCTTCTCTCTTAGGCTCTTTCTCTGCATTTGTAACTTGTTTCCTGATAGAATCTTCACAGCAGCCACCTGCCCTCTTGGAACTTTCACTCTATGAACAACTTCTTGTAATGGTGAGTTTAGTTTTGGTTTACTTTTGGATTCAGAATTAGCAAAAACCACTGATTGCATACATTACTTACACAATATATTTGTGCACATAAGATAAGCAGAACTCATAATGTTACTTAGTTCTATAACAACAAAGCACTAAATTTTGAAAACAAAATCCAGTTATTTCCGAGGATTTTGGAGAGCCCCCCATCCAGGCAGTGCACTGGTTGTTCAGCTCCACCATGACCCGCAGTCAGATGCCCCTGACCCCTCCCACCCCATGCCCATGTTGATGAAAATTATTGATTGAGCAATTGAAGTGCAGTGTGGCGCTGATTAAAATGCCTCCTTCTTTCCCCATGACTTTATCCTCTGAAAGCTTTGCTTCCATCTTTTGCTGGAAACTCAGGACCTCTACAGACAGCGCTGTAGGAGGAAGACACAGCGGATCCTCTCTGATCCCAGTCATCCAGAACCTCTACAGACAGCATTATAGGAGGAAGACACAGCGGATCCTCTCTGATCCCAGCCACTCAGGACCTCTACAGACAGCATTATAGGAGGAAGACACAGCGGATCCCAGCCACGGATTCTTCACACCCCTGCCATCAGGCAGGCAGTACAGGAACACCCAGACCCACACCAGCAGGTTCAGGGACAGTTTCTACCCGCAAGCCATCAGACAACTGAACTGCTGAAATACTAAACACCTTGAACATCCTTATCTGACCATACTTTAACTTTAAAAATATCTTTTGTACACATGTAGGAGAGTGTATATACAGATACATGTACACACTACACTCTTCTGTACTACAGCCTTTGATAAGTACCTGCACATGCTAAACACTGTGTACTAAGCACCTCATTATCTTACTATTTTATTCTACTAATTACTAGTTGTACCATTATGCTACTTTATTTTATTCTACTTAAGTGTTATTATTATTATTTTTTTACTGTTAAGTAATATTTTAGTTTGCAAACATTGAGGGGGCTCAATTCAAGGAATGTCATTACAGGTAATGATGCTGCATCGTTATCTTACATGACAATAAACTTAAAAGTTATACAAGATTGCCTTAAATGATGACATTTTTAATAATCTTACTCTCCATGACACACGCAGACACACAAGCTTGGCAGTGAGCCTTGAAAATCATAACATTAATAAAATAATCATTCTTCAGTATCATGTCCAACATGTCCATACACAGGATCAAGTATATATACTTACTCAAGGGTACATCCACTGTACACATATTGTGAATTTTCCCATAATACAGTAGCATTGTGTGCATTAGTGAGGCCTGACTATAGTGTCAATAAATAGCATGGAACTAATCAAGTGCCCACAGGGTGGTTAAAGCTGCATTCGGCCTTTGCTGTCCTAATACTGATAACAGATCCCCTTCCTGTCATGATGCCTAAAATCAGGCACGTCCGCCATCGGCATGTCGACTGCTTGGTCAGCTCGCTCCTCCATTCCTCATGAACTTTCACCTCCTGACCGGGCAGCTATCCCAGCCCCCGCTGCCACCTCCCACCTGATTCTCACTAGGACTCCCTCTATGTGTTGGTGCTCGGGTGGCTTTTGGCGATTTTAGGGGCCCTGGCTGCACTCGGAGGCCCTTTCTGATCGTCCCCCGTCAATAAAGCCTTGATCTCCGACGGGATCTTCCCCTGGTCCATCGCAGAGCACCACTGCTTGTACTGAGGAGGAAACAAAAAAAATACAACTACTATCAATCAGTAAAATTACTATCCATCCATCATATATAACCATTTCCTCAATTGAGGGTAGCTGTAATTATTGTTCTGCTTGCATAAACCAGAGGTTCCCAATGTTTAAAAAACATAAAATCATTACAGTTATCACAAACACAGACACTGTTAATTTGGGTGTTATGGTCTAAAAAGTTTGGGAAGTCATGTCCAAAACCAGGGGTATCCAATCTTATCCGCAAAGGGCCGGTGTGTATGCAGGTTTTCGCTGCAACTCCCTAATTAGGGCACTAATTAGAGGAATGTTTGACTGAAGAGTCCTCACACTTGGGTTTGAACAACTGACCTACAGGTTATCCCAAAAATCTGCATACACACCGGCCCTTTGCAGATAAGATTGGCCACCCCTGTCCTAAACCTTTAAATGGATGTATCCCTCAATATGTTTTGTATTCTACAGTGTATCACTTACTATACAGTTACATTCTGTATAATCAGTGCCAGTCAGAGACAGCATAGCGCAGTAGGCAAGCTTAACCGCTATTTCATCCTACCCGGCAAAAACTACTTCCAAGCACTACAGTGCATGCATAAATCGACATTACATCACACGTCTACAGTGCTTAAAATTTTTGCTACCCTTTCGTGTTAAATCTAGGGGCCTGTTTCAGAAAGCAGGATTTCTTGCTTAGCTGGATAACTTGTCAGTTTAAGGTAGTCTGGACTAAATGGACGAATATAATTTCCAGTTAAACTGGGGTACCTTAAATTCGACAAGTTATCTGGCTAAACAAGAAATGCTGATTTCCCGGACACAGGTTTGGTATTAACACAAGTAGGGACCAAATTTGGCTACGGACTGGTACGTCGAGCTCCCTCAGAATACGGCGCCCTAGGCAGCCGCCTATGCGCCCTATAGGATTGACCGGCCCAGTGTATTAGGTTATACACAGCAGTATACAAAAATGTTTTATCCTAATTTAAAACCTATAATGAGAGTTTTAGACCGCTATGTTTCAGCGAAGGTGGATGGTAAGGTATACTCCGGGTTACTCCCGGCTTGTGAGTACCATGCCCAGCTCCTCCCGCAGGGCGCAGATGGCCCTTTCCTTACTGGACACCAGATCTTCCAGGTACTGGTAGCGCAGCTTCTTGCGCGCCCTGCACTCCCTGGCGCTCTGCCGGCTGCGCTCCAGCTTCGCCTTCAGGTCGATCTTCGCAGGTTTGCGCCCCCGCTTGCCAGGCTTCTTCGCCTTTCCGCCCCCTATCTGAAGGAGAAGCGACTTCTCAAACTTGCGTGCAAGTTTTACATTCAGCATTTGCCTTGATTTCTATTCAACTCTCACAACCATTAACAAAACGCAATAAGTATTTTAATTGATATATTTAATTGGTTATGTAAGAAAAGTAAAATATCTTAAAAACAAAAATACGACAAATCTCACTTTCCATGTTTTTCAATTTGATTTGAAACAAACACTTTTTCTATTTTCTAATTCTATTTTGAGGAGCAATACATAGCTCATATCCGATAATTCAACGCAATCTAATATATTTCGGCAAACTTTTTTAATGTACCTTAATTTTACGTTATTTTTTAGTATATATTTAGTTACAACTTAACTAATGTGCCTAATGTAACAAACTTTGAATCTTAGTGTTAAAAAAACAACCTGTACTAAGAGATTTGCTACAATAATTAACGTACATAGCCTATAGAAAAAGTAGGTAGGGCTATGGTAAATCTTACAAAAATACGATTACTCATAATAAAACGGTAAAATGGGTAGTTATAATCCTAGTTTGTATTAAACAAGCATATAACTAGCTGTAAAGTATTATATTTACTTTAAACATTATAGCACTACATGCAGTAGCGCAACATTTTGAAATATCCGTGTCGACTTCACATCTTTATAAATTGCAGAATGTATTTATCCACCAGAATGGTTATTTGTATTTTACCTTGCCGTCATCCATTTTGCGCAGATTTGGGGCAGATGACGGTTCGGTGAAGCAGCTGATCGGACCGGCAGACGCATGCAGACCCCGCACTCCTGCTCCGCGACCCCGCGCAGCCCCGTCCGCTTTTATCGGCACCCCTCTCTGCTTCCTGGTACTGGGACTCGTCTGGTTTCTGGGAAGTGGCGTTTCCCCCATCAATCGTCGCTTTATAACGTAATATTCCCTATTTGCGGATATATCAAACGACACACCCAGAAACACAGTGTTTAGTATAACTAGATCAGTAAAGTTCTTCGTTGCAATCTGGCGGGTGAGGGGCGGCAAATGACGACCTCAAATCAAAGGGTATAACGCGGAATGGCGAAGATAAACTTTTCGACGTCGCTCGGGACGGGGCTCACGGTTTTGAAAAACTTTTATTTTATATTAGTGGGCTATTTCAAAGACGCGAGTTGTTGTTTGTTAATGTTTTTTTTTGCTTAATTCAAGTAGTCTAAAACATGCAACCAAAAATGAAAACAGATGTTAGCGGTTACAGACAGAATTCCTTTTTATTATTGAAAATAATTGTAGCTGATAAGCAATATAAACCAGAAAGCCCTGCTTATGCTTCAAAAGTGTAAAGATATTTTCAGTTAGATTATAAAATTACTGTGGTTTAATTCCAGGTTTCTGTTCTTTATACTCTAGCAATCTCAGGTTCTCGCGTCATATTTGCGCGAACAATGATCTAGATTTATTCATCAGTTCATCTAAAGCTGTAAAGTATAACTGATAGATACTGCAAAAAAAATAACCGTGGGCATCACTTGTTTTAATAACACGTATCCCCCGTTTGAAAACAGGAGGAATTACTATTTTGGAACATTACTGCATATTTTCTTACACCAGCACATTCCGTGAATTTCAAAATCCTTCGGCAAAACAAATCCTCAATCGTGTATAAAACGCCAGTGCTTACTTGGTAGTCAGAAAGTTTCAGGGCTAATACGGGGTTTCATCACCCCCTACCCCCCAAGTTGGGGGATTCACCCACCCAGCCTTTTTCCAAATGCCTTCCTTCTGCAGCTGAGCTCTCCACAGTGACTCAAACAGCTGAGTCACTCTACGGGGGCGGTGGGGGGGGGATAATGCAGGCCGAGAGGGAGCGATATTAACGCAACCGGGAAACAAATTATGATCTTGAGGAGCTGCGTAGTATGAGGGCGTTTTTGTTGCAAGTCATTCATGATTGAGCGCATCTCTGAGTGAGCGCTGGATCAAGGTATCACAGGGAGCTGGTCACAATCTACAGGTTTATTGGTACATTTTTTTCCTGTTCAGAGACTGGTGGGTTTTAAGTATGAATGGCATCTACACAACTAATATCGAGTCAGACTGGTGACCAAAACAAGTGAAAGTCTGATGCTTCGGTGGCAGGAAATGTTGCCCTTCACTATGTTTGGAATGGTGTTAGAAGTATGATCTAGGTCAGTGGTGGTAAGGAAATTGAGGGATATGTACAAATACATAAAAAGGGAATATTGGAACAAATCAATACAAAAGCTATAGGAAACCTGACTCATTCATCAATCATTCATTATACACTCACCTAAAGGATTATTAGGAACACCATACTAATACGGTGTTTGACCCCCTTTCTACGGTGGCCCCTAGAGACAAAACACATACAAAAGAAAAAGCAGAAACAAAATGAAAATGCGCAGCAA